TGGTCTCGAACTCTCAACAATCCTCCTGCCTCAGCCTTTTATAACTTTGTTTCTCTGAACAGATTCAGAAATTAAAAATGCAAAAGGAATATGCAAAACAAGTTAAAGAGTACAACATGAAGACATTCTCCGTTCTGTCCAAACCACAAACAGCGATTTTGTGGATTACAGGCATATGCCACCAGGCCCGGTTCCATTTCTGTAATAAAGAAACTGAAATTCTGAAAACCAGAAATAAAAATTTCAAGTTAGTAATGTGCTGTCTGATTACCTTTTTTTTTTTGAGACAGGGTCTCACTATATCGTTCAGGCTGGCCTTGAACTCACCATGTGGCACAGATTGGCCTCAAACTTGCAATGATCCTCCTAACTCAGCCTCTCGAGTGCTGGAATTGCAGGTGTGTGCCAACATGGCTGGCTGTTTTTATTATTTTTAACATAACATATACATTATCACTTTACCACCGCTGCTGTTCCTATGATGTCTAGTCTTGGGCAGTTTGCTAAATCACATGATTTCCCTGGAAGAGGCAATGTAAGTCCTTCAGATAAGCACATTGCTACAAAAAGACAGCATTTATCCAGTGAACATACACTTGTCCAATGTCCATCAGATATGCCTAGGTAGGAACTTTAAAATTTGACTATTGATTGTTGGGGGAGAAAAAGATAATTTCCAGGAAAAAATAACTATAATGCTTTCCTAAAACTCAAGGAAAGTAACTATTTAAGAGCCTTAGCTGGGTGTGGTGGCGCACGCCTGTAATTCCAGCAGTCAGGAGGCTGAGACAGGAGGATCATTGTGAGTTCAAGGCCAGCCTGGGCTACAAAGTGAGCTCAAGGCCAGCCTGAACTGTATGGTGAGATCCTGTCTCAAAAAGACCAAAAAAAAAAAAAAGGGTCACTAGTGTAAAACCCTGAAAGCATGCATAAAAATTAGGAGGTATGATAGACATTGTGAAACAAAAGGAAAATGCTCAAAAGTAAAGAGCAATTGGGGTGAGGGAAAGAAGAAAAGAAAGAAGGGGAAATTATGTATGTATGTACATATAGAATAGGTAACATAGTTGTACTACTGACTTCTATTGCTTTACTAAAAGGAACAGTTAATGATTAGTTATTTGACCAATCTTGCATGTCTCTGTTTTCCTGAGAAACCACTTTGAAGATATCAATATTTAATACAACAACCATTGTTAATTTCCTACCACTTGTCTGTAACTCTGTATTGCTTGTATTGTTCTTATGCTATTTTGTAAATGGATGTCTGTTTAATATGTTTTCCTTCTTTTATTTTTAAAATGAATTTTTTAAAAAAGGATCTTGGTAAGACCCACTGAGAAATTCCTTTTGTTCAGTTGGTGTGATTTTTTTTTGACATTTTAAAGGGCACACAGTTTTACATTTAAACTCTTTATTAGTATTGCACACATAAAAGGCCAGAGCAACAGAGTGAGGCAATTTAATTATCAGATTACGGCACTTGAGCACAACAGTAGGGAGGAAAAACCCTAGTGCTCTCCTGGCCACAGGATTGATTAAGACAGCCCAGAACTGCAGCTTTTGACATCAAAACTGAAGTTTAGGCTTGCTACTTCCTTGCTCCTTAGCAAACGAAATACTTTTGTTTTTCAGTCATTAATTAATTTGGTTTCATTTTCTGGGAGGGAAGGGACAGGAAAGACAATTCCAAAGAGATGATTTGTATGACAGTGATCATCTTGGGGCACAAAGCAGCACAGAGTAGAGGGGAGAAAAGAGCTGTGCTGAAGAAGCAGCTGTTCCGTACTAACTCTGTGAAACTCCCTGTCTGCATGTGAAGGTCAAGGCACAGCATTTTCATAAGTTTAGAAAGCTCCTCCTAATTATTTTCTTAAATTCAGATATAGACAATATATCTAGTGAGCCTTTATCTAAGACAGAATTTGACAAAGACAGTCCAGATAAAAAAGAACACTTCATATCAGACAAAAGTTACATGCGTCTCCATAATCTTAAGAGTGAACTGACGCGTACACATTGTACCAACAAGAACATGTCCGACGCACAGTGGTTTACTGACTACCAACAGAGCACGCCATCAGCTTCTTCCACTGTAAGGCTCAAAAGCCAAATGCAGTCACCCCTTAAATAATAAGAGCCTGGCTCCCAGATACCGCACAGGCACTAAAATTTAAGGACGCTTAAGTCCCTAATATAAAATGATGCACATTTAAAATATTTAATGTGAATATTTAAAATATTCATATTTAAAATGTATTCACATATGAAATACAGTATTCACATACAACCTACGCACATCCCCCTGTATACTTTGAATCATCTCTAGATTGCTTCTAATGCCTAACGCAATGTCATAGAGTTTCGCATTATTAGTATTTAGGAGAGAATGACGAGAAAACAAAGCCTTTACATGTTCAGTAAAGATATTTGGTTTTTTTTTTTTAAGTTTTCAATTGGCAGTTGGTTAAAGCCACAGGTGGAAAACCTGTGAATAAGGAGGGCTGACGCTCTCCTCTCCTGTGCTCCCGGCAGTGAGCTCCGGCCCACGAGGTGTGAGTGACCACCGGCACAGTCCACGGTGAGTTTGGAAAGCTCTCATTCAGGCTGGCATGGCCCCTCCCCATCCTTTCTTCCTCTGCCTGAGAGTGGATGTGATTTTACAGCTGAGGTGGCAATCTCGTCAACAGGAAAGAAACCATAGGGGAAGCACATGCATCTTGGTTCTGATGTTTTGAGTTATAGGAACGCCAGAGCTAACAACCTCCAGACTGTACATTAGCTGTGTGAAAGAAAACTGAACTCATATTTTTGAAATTCCTGGTAATTCTGTTACTTGCTGCTAGGGCATTATTCCTACCATTTCATTGCTTCAATGTCACAATTCAAAAGGGCAAAAATAATATGCCACAGAGGCAATAGTTCTCTGCTGTAAGGATTAAAAGTTCAGTAAACAGAATTAGCTCCATTCAGTGTTAAACACTCATGGTCAAAAGTCTTTCAGCAGATGTAATTCTAAAAAGTGAGAGAAGAGAGAATTCTAGTTTAAGGAATCCTTTGAGCTGGCATCACTATAAATAATAACTCTCCTTTAAGAAAATAGAAGTTAGCTGGGTATGGTAGTGCACACACTTGGAAGGCTGAGACAGGAGGATTGTGAGTTTGTAGCCATCCCAGACTACATAGTGAGACTGTCTCCAAAAAAAAGTCACTACTGAGCAAAAGCACTACCGCTACTTTCTGTACGATATGTCTGCTTATACTTGTACATAATCTTCCATACACTAAAAATTACTTTTTTTTCACTAAGCATTTTATCACTACAATCTATTTTGCTAATGTTTTCAAAAATGTGATTTTTAGGCATCATATCCTATTGTCTAATTATAGTTAAACTGTTTAGGTCCTTTTCTAAATGTTGACTATTTACGGCATCCTGGAATAAGCATTATTTGTGGGCTACTGTAATTATTTCTTTCAGATAAGTTAATAGAACTGTAATTATTGAGACCAAATAAACATGCTTATCAATTAGCATTTTTAGCAATAAGATTGCTCTTTTTGTCCAAACCTTGATTACATGGTACTATCACATTAAAAACTTTTAGTATTTTTAATAGGTGAGTGAATTCAGATCACATGCCCGCGACTGCAAATTTTTTGTTTTTCACACCTATGCCATCTGTGACACTGTTTTGTAATCACTTAATTACTACTTGCTAGAGTAAACCAATAAGGAAAAGAAAGGAAATAAAACCCCACTCATATCCAAGTCATAAATGCAATTTGTCCAAAGATGATGAGAAGGAAATGATCAGTGCCCAGAAATCTCATCCTTAGTCTGAAGCAGCTTTACTTTTAATCATTCCACTGATTCACAAAAGACACATTGTGAGGCATGAATAATTGCTCACTGATCTCCAGCCACAGTTCTTACTATCACCTTGAATAAACATCTAGCTTAGCACAGAAAAATGTAGGCAAGGGCCGGCACTGCACATCAAAATGAAGGGAGAGCATGTGGCCCAACAGGGCCAGCCCCAAGCGCTGCTGATCCCTTTACCGGATGAGGTGACCACAGCAAAGCAACGTTTCTCGAGGGATAGTGGTGGCTCCTAACAGAGTTTGTTCTGGGTGACTGCAAATGAAAATCCTGGATTTGCTGACGTTCGGCGCAAGTAATCTTCAACTGGTTCTTAGCAGCGCAGTTCTGTTTGATCTCTCTCCATCTAAAGTCTTTTCAACAGCTTTATTCAGAAAGAATTCACATACCACAAAATTCACTCATTGGAAGCTGTACAGTTCAGTAACTTTTAGTATACTCACCACGTTATGTAAACACCACCACAATCCAATTTTAGAACATTTTCATTGCCCTAAAAAGAAAACCCCCTCCTCCTCCCCTTCCAGCCCTAGGCAACCACTAATCTACTTTCTGTCTCTCCAAAAGTCCTTTCTAGTAAAATAATCCCTAGAATTTACTTGGATTTACCTCTCCTTGGCTTTTCTAAGACTAAAAGGTCAGAGTAGTACAATGCCAATGTAACAGCAATAATAGTAATAATCAACATTGGTAGTGCCATTAAGTCTCCAAACACAGGGGCAACAAGTTGGAAAATACAGGCACATGCTCAACAAGTCCCTGGCAAGATCCATTCTCGACTCTGCATAAACACACGAGCTGACATCCACTGACCCTGGCCCTGTCTGTAGGGTGTTAGAACCGCACCAGCCCCTCTGACATGGTGTTCCCAATTGGCTTCACAAAAGACTTTCCTGATGGAAAGTTTCTACCAGTAACTACTCACAACTCTTCTCAAGCCAGATGAGTGATTTTTGTTATAAACTTAGGGCACTGTGTGCCTGAACTGAATTTGACATTGACTCTTCCGTGAGGACCTGTTTTGCTCTGAAACGTTGTACCCTGCTGAGGGCACACTGCAGAGCTATTCAAAAAATTCCTTGGATGCGTAAGTGTGAGAAAGTTACTGAAAAGCAGGACCAAAAACGATGCCTCAAATTCTCCAGAACAGCAAGTGAAGGAAATTTGCTCTGTGGTTGCTAAATTTAATCCAAATAAACCTCTTCTTCCAAGCAGTCAAGCAGCAATACCCAGATTGTCTGTGACAACAAACACACGAGTTAATTACTGCCGCTTGACAGTCAGCTGTCACAGAGCTCCCCAACCAGTTATTTTGTGGTGGGCTGCGACACAATGTATTTTTATACTGCTTGTCACCTTGCACCATGTTAATCTCTTACTGCCCGATGTCTGGGTTTAATGGCACGGACAATGCCTGGTATTCATAAATCAGTCATAACAGAACTGCCAGAAAAGGAAGGGGGTTGGGCCTATTACCTTTACAAATCCTCAAATTTTTAATGTGATTCAGAGCGATTTCCCTGGAAACCACAAGTTTTGATGTGACTAGCAAATGGGCATGACCTGGATAATGATTCCCTCTGTCTGGTGCCCTAGCTACCTGCTGCCTTGCACAAATAGTTTGGTTCTGTCATTTTAGCTTCTGGAATAGCTTAAAGGACAAAGAGCGCTTATGTGCATTTGTCAGATGCAGGTTGAAGGCACTGGCCTGAGAAAATGGATACATATGGATTGTGACATTCCTGACAGAAAGCAGGGAGGGAGGGATTTTCCCAGTTGGAAAGAGGGCTCGAGAGGCAGTAAGTGGAAATTCTCCTCCCTCTTCCCTTCCCTCCCATGCTCGTAGACTTATGGTGATACACATGGTCTCCAGGGCACTTGCCTCTGTTTTTTTTTTTCGGTAAAACATGAATTTAAATTACTAAGAGAAGGAGGAAGGGAAAAGGAAATGAACATTTCGTTGATGTCTATTTGTTAGGGAATAAGCTAAGGTTTTAATACATTATTTCGTTTAACCTCCCTCAAATCTAGGTAAACTACTCACCTGCCCAGGGCACAGAGCTATTAGATGACCAAGCTGAGATAAGGGTTTAGGAATGACCTAGTGCATGATTCCCAGTAAATCTTTCTGGCTGAGAACTCAGTTGAAAAGTGTGTACTTTTAACAACAGCCTAACGTTGGCAAGAAGTAGCAGGGAAAGTTCTCTCCTGAGGTTATATGTTTGAGTGGTGTTTTAGGCCCTGGGAATCTGAAGTTCTGGAGTGAGCAGTCTTCACATTGAAAATATGTTGGTCCCAAAGCTTTGAATACATTTTTGGTAGAAACAATAATATACCATATATGATGTGCAGCTTCCTACTCCTGTCTACGAAACCTATAGTATTTACAGAGTACTTGAAAACACTACTAACAGTGCTTAGAACTGCCCTTCTGTGTACTGATGTTTCTGTGGCAAAAGAAAGATGACCTGTGGTTCCAGAAATGCATGTCTCCATATTTACAGGGGAACTGGGGATCCCATCCCAACTCCCAACCAGGGCAGGGATGGGGGTCCCAGCAAGACAGAGGAAATGAGGGAGTACAGTTAGGCTGAGGAGGTCAAAGAGCTGGGGGTTGGGGTGCACAGGAATGAGCTGGAAACCTGGGACACACAGAGCGCCTCTGAGACAAGGCCTCCAGGAGCAGGCGTGCCTCCTCCTCTTTCTCTTTAAGGGCATCCTTTTTCTTTTCTTCTTCTGAGGCACAGATGAAGGTCTGCTGACTCCATGATTCTATAACTTCCTGGTACATTTTTTTTGGAGACAGGGTCTTGCCTTAGCCTCTTAAGTGCTGAGATTACATATGTGCACTACACTGCATACCACAGCCAGAGCAACTTTCAAAAATATATAAATGCGACCATGTTAAAAATTTGTCAATAATCTGCTTCTGGCCTACAGAATAAAGATTTTCTACCCACCCACTTTTGGCTTTGAGGGTTGAACCCAGGGCCTGCACACAGAGATAAAACCCCAACCCTTTTTTAAAAATTTTTTTTGAGACAAGGTTTTATTAAGTCACTAATTTGCCCAAGTTGAGCTTAAACTTGGGATTTCCCTGCCTCAGCCTCCCAGAGAGGTGGGATTACAAGCATGTGCCCCCACTCCAAACCAAGACTTTCTGCTCTGAATGAAGAACAGGATCCTCTAGGTCTTGCCCCTACTTATCTCTCCAACCACATCTCTCCACACCTTGTGCCTCCCACCTTCAGTTACAGCAACATGAGGTGCCTACCCATCCCAAGCATCACCATGCTGTCACAGCTCCGGAGGCCTGGCTTCAGCCGCTGCCCTGCCAGAAACGCTTGTCTTCCTTCTTCGGCAGCTCCCCACCACCCTCTAAGACTCAGCTCAGGATGACTTCCTGAAGGTTTGTGTGATCCTCAGGTGGGCATCTGTAACCCTTCATGTTCCGCTGTGTTCCCTGTGAGACTTCTTATTTTGCTTGTAACATTACACTTAAACCACCTACGAGTCTGTCTTACAGATCCATATAACTCCAAGCTTCTTCTGGGGGAGGGTCATGGCTCATTTATCTTTATATCCCAGCACGTACCACAGATACTAGCAGGAATTCAGAACTTACATGATGAACTGAACAGAGAATGAGCCACTTGACTCCCCCCAGACCGAGAGTGGGTGCCCTCTAGGCTGAGGTGCTTACTCAACCAGGTGCTGGAAGCCCTGGCCACTGACACTTGACAACTGGGTCCCTCCCTAAGAACTGCTTGTGGCTAAGTACAGCTGCTGTGTACAAAGCCACAATCTCCCCCAGGGCAGTCATTCTCCAGTAGCTAGTCACAATGGGGGTGGGGAGGACACAAGTGCCCCTGCTAATGCCAACCCAACTCAGAATCGTCTGAACTCAGGCTGAGGCTTCTGCTGCATCTGCACACAGTTCACCTATTCCCTCTGGTCACCTTGCCTCCTGACTCCCTCACAGGCTTTGTTCCCAAGGGAACCCCTCAGGAAGCTCCTGCACTCCAAGCTCCACGAAGAGTCTGTTCCCAGGGAACCTAGCCCCCCACAGGCCTGTTTCCAAGCTGACCTGAAACAATGTATTTCCCAGCCTTCTGCTTAGTATTTGCTGTGGTTTGGATATGGCTGGAGTATGTCCCTCAGAGGCTCATGTGCTAGAGTCTCACTCCTTGGTGTGGTGATGGTGGGAGGCGGCAAGGGCCTTGCTGATGTGGGAGGTTATTATATCTTTGTGGTGCAAGGCTTGGAAGGAATTAAGGTAGTTCTGGTGGGACGTAGGTTATTTCTTGTGAAAGCAAGAATCACATTTTTATAAATATGAGCCTGACCTGGGAATTGCTGTCTTCCTGTCTGGTGATGTAATCTTTTGCGCGTGCGCGCGCGCGCACACACGTACACACACACACACACGCACACACACACACACGCAAACACATACACACACACACTCACCACAGCTACAGTGAGGCCTACCTTGCCTCAGGTATTTCACAATAGCAACGAAATACAAAGTAATACGCTATTTGATACTAAAAGCAAGTCATCTTCCCTGAGGGGTTTTTCCTTTTTTGGTTCTGACAGTGCAGAAATGCACAGGATACGATTTAAGTGTGCAAAGAAGCTAGTAAGAATCTTATTGTAGATAAATATCAGCTAGCATTTCAAAGGAAAGTTCATTCACTGGCCAGACTTGGGATTTTACTGCAGTCACTGAGGTGAGGTGAGGACCAGGAGCGACCTCTGGGTGTGCAGGCGTGAAAGGAGGACGTGGGGGGAAACACTGGCCAGAGGCGCTGTCAGTAACTCCACCTACTTGCTCTTGTCTCAGAATGAATGTGAGGACTCTGAGGAGGATTGGGCTGGGGTAGGGAAGCTTCTCTGAGGAAGTCATGCTTAAACTGGGGATAAAAGGAGGGCTATAGCCTCTCCACAAATGTAGACCCTTCTCTCAGATGAACTGAAAAGGAGGTGGAAATGGGCATCCCTAGTAACAACCACTTTCAGAAAGAAGGGCAAGAAAATTCCCAGGAGTAGCAGGGGCTGGAGGAAAGAAATTCCTGATACCACAGGGCTACCCAGTTGTGGCCACAGCTCAATAATGACTCCACTGCAGGGCTCCAGTTCAGGGAAACAAAAATCAAGGTCCATCTGTATTGTTAAAATTAAAAAGTTGCTTGGTAAAAAGTGATGCTTTTATTACCTTAGTGGTGCTTCTTTTCTTGTCCTTTTTTCCCTTTTCCAGTTGAAACAGGTAGCCTTCGGAATTGCTACGCATAATTTTGATTTGGTTTCTTTGATTTTTTTCTGAACTGAGTTGGGATTCACTTTCCACCCTCGACAAGATGGGCGGAAGTGTGACACTGGATAAGGACCCCTGCCTGGGCTGCACCTCGGCCAACTGCACCAAGGCTTGCTGATGCTGCTCCATGATGTGGGTGAGCCGTGAATCTGGAGACGCTCTAGCAGGTTGGCTGTATGGGGAAGAGTGGAATTTCCTTTGGGAAAAAAAATAAACCAAAATTTGTTATTAAACTTGAATAAGTAAGACCTCTAGCATAAAAGTCTTCACAAACCATTACTTTCTATATTATCACTTCCCGAATCAAAGTAATGACCTCAAGCTTAATCATTTCATGAGTAAATTATTTCTTATGTTAAAATCTCTTCTTTTTCTTTAAGACATTCCAATCTTCTTTAGCACTTAGTGCATTCAGAAAAGAAAAAAAAAAAGCCCACCATTTCGAAAAGTCGAAGTCCTTCCTACTCTAAATTTCTAGAAATGTTAGGTTAAATAAACATCTTTTAAATGCATGGCTGAACTTACAAAAGAGGCAAGGAATTTCCAGGGTTGGAAAACAAAGTGAAATTAAAACCCAAGCAGATGAGTTAAAGCTATTGCTTTCTCTATGGGATATTTGGATCTAAGGTCTTGAGTTTTAGCACCTAATCCTGGCACAAGGTATGTGAGACCTTGGCCTCATGTAAGGCAGAGAATCAGAAACTAAGATTCTTGAATAAAGGCTATCACCCTTGAAATGCTAAATCCTCAATAAAATAGTGGATTACATAAAAGCCCACTGCATTGAAGAGTAATGACTCTTCAGTGACAATGACCACATAAAGCTCCCAAATCTTGGTTCCTTACTTCCATGAAAAGGAATACAGGTCCTCTGGAGAAATGACTGCTTCCACACAGATTCAGGGAAAGTCAAAGGTGAGCCCAGGCTACATTGTTATGCCAGAAGCCAAAAAGTGCTCAAAAGGACATAAGAACCCCCAACAAGGGGCTCTTATTGCTCAAATCCAAGACAATGAGAACATACAGTATATTGATAACAACAGACTTTAACATATTTTTAAAGAAGAGATTCATATGAATAAGGTCAGCCTATATTACTATCAAGATCCTGACTCAAAAAAATACAGATCCACAAATCCACAATGATATTAAAAAAGACAGAGGAGAAAGAAGAGGAAAAAATCTATTTCAACAGAATGCCATGTAATAAATGTTGAAATATTGGTAGAATTATAAAATCAATCTTTGGCAATCTCCAATGAATGATTTAAGGAAGGACTGTCTGTGACACTAAAATAACTGTATGAAAGTTGTTGGGAAATCAGATGTTTAGACTGTCTTAAATATTAATTACAAAATAGAAAACCCACTTTTATAAGGGTGAGAGACTGAGTAGTTTTTACCTTAACCAAGAGATCTCATTTACTATCACCAGCAGCATGACAGTCTGTCATATGTGCTTCTTGATACAATAAAATACAAATCATACAAGCCAGGCATAGTGGTGTACACCTAAACATCTGCTCAGGGAGCTGGGCAGAAGGGTCACAAGTTTGAGGCCAACCTGGGCAACTGAGCAACTCCCTGTCTCAAAATAAAATAAAAAGGACTAGGGATGTAGCTCAGTGCTGGAATAAGTAAATTAAAAAAAAAAAAACAAATAAACTAAAATATCAACAACAACCACACACACACACACACACACACACACACACACGGCACACAACAGATCACTATATAGTCTTGCCAAATATTTTTAAATTAAAAATAATTACGAGAAAACAGATTTTTATAAGGACTGAAAACAGTGAAATATAGGGGTTGAAGAATTTGTTCTACATTTTTTAAAAAATTAAAAACACAAAAAAGCAAATGTGGTAAATGCATGTTGACAGAATCCTGGATCAGAAAATAAAAATTCATCTATAAAGGTCATTTTTAGAGCCAGATGTGCTGTTGTATACCTACAGCACCAGCTACTCAGGAAGCTGAAGCAGGAAGATCCCTTGAGTTCAGAGTTCAAGGCCAGCCTGGGCAACATAGTGAGACTTTCTCTCAAAAACAAAACAAAATGAAGCAAGGGACTGGGGGTTTAGCTCAGGGGCACAGTACCTGCCTGGCAAGTGCAAGGTTGTGAGTTTGATTCCCGGTACCAGAAAAAGCCAAAAACAAAACAAACAAACAAAAAAACCAAAATGAAGCAAAGCAAAGCAAAACATGAGAGCTGTAGAAAGGATGGAAACTAAAATTAAGAAATGTAGAAATATAACAAAATTACAAAGAAATAGGGAAGAAGAGAGAAAAGACAGTAAGAACAGTCCTGTAGCACTCTGGAAGGCTGAGGCAGAGGGTCACAAGTTCAAGTCCAGCCTGGGTGACTTAGACACTTAGCAAGACCCTGTCTCAAAAAAACAAAACAAAACAAAACAACACAAAACCCCAAACCAAACCAAAACAAAGAAAAAATGAAACAGAAAAACAAAAAGAAAAGGGCTGAGGATGTAGTTCAGAGCAAAGTCCCTGGATTCAGTCCCCCGTAACAGACACAAACACACATACACACACTGGGTGTGGTAGCACAATTCTGTGATTCCAGCTACTCAGGAAATTGAAGGAAGAGAATTGCAAGTTCAAGGCTAGCCTGGGTGACTAGTGAGATCTAGGTTCCAAATAATACACCTAGGGTATAGCTCAGTGTGTCCTGAATTCAATGTGCAGTAACACACACACACACACACACACACACACACACAGAGAGTCCTGGAAGAACATCTGCATTACAAGGGTTTCTAGGAATAGCAAGCAGGTAAGATGGGTGGAAGAACTGACCCAAGAGATGATTCCAGACATCTTCCTAGAACTAAAAGACACAAGTTTCCAGGTGAAAAGGCCCTGCATATCTATGAAATAGACCTGTACCGAGATATATTATTGTCAATTCTCATTCTATTGGTGAAAAGGAGAGATCTTGCAGCTTCCAGAGAATAAAATACACAGGTCATGTAACACAGGGTCTGGAATAAGGGGGAATATGGTGGCTTCCTGTTTCTCAACCGCAACACTGGAGAGGAGAAGATGGTTCTGGCGGAAAATTATTTCCACAAGACCCTGCCAGCTATCCACCAGGAATGAGGACAAAATAAATATGAGGTCTCAACACATTTACCTCCTCAGCAGTGGAGACGGCTCTGATCCCAGTAACAGAGGAAATGGGGAAAGGGAGAAGGGCCAGTGATGGAGAGGAGTGAAGGGCAGGGCCGTGGTGACGTGAGCGGAGGCTCTGCGGGGTGACGAGCACCATCCCAGAGGAGGCAGTGTGGGGCGGAGGTGCACGGAGCCGTGGGGATGCTGTGCACCGCCTGCCCCATCTTCTGCCACTACACCATGTTTCTAGTCTGAAGAAAACACCAGATAATGCGCCCAGCTAAAACGAGGACGATGTGAGAGCTTGAGAAACGGAATCCCATCAGAAGGACAGCCAAGGGAATTCTCAAAACAGCCACAGGGAGATAAAGATGTTGACAGTCTGTACAAAGATTCTCTCTGAGAAAGAAAAAGAAGCTGGTGTGTGTGTCCTTGGGAAAATGTGTAAGGAGAAGCTACTGGGAAGGATGGGCACAAAAACTTAAGCAAAGGCAAGAAAAAAAAAGGCAAGCAATTATGACATTTTATAGAAAACAAAACAAAAAGCATGATCATAGCGCCTACAATGCTGGACCATGAATCATAGATACACTGGCCCAATAACTAAAATGCCAAATACTGGTCTAACCTAAAGTTGTAACACAACTACCGTTTGTCAAGGATGAGTGAGGTGAAGCAGACAGACGGAAATACATTTTCACCTATCAGAACAGGAAGCCAAAAATATAGAGAGAGCTGATGCAGCAAAATACCAGTAATTAAATACAGTTGAGAATTATGAAAAATTCCAGAGGGAGAAGTGAAAAAATCCAAGTTGCTGATGCTATTCAGAATTTTCATTATTATACCAATGTAAACATGATCCACAGCCAAGCACTGCGGCGTGGACCGCTGGGGAGAGTAAGCACTATGCTACCACTAGCCTAAGTGCTGCTGGACTTGGATGAAAAATTACAAAATAGGAGAAAACGTAATATTAGAAATTAAAAGAGTAAATGGATCATAAAAGACTGAAAAATAAAAATTTATGTAAAGATCATGAAAAGTTTTATAACAGTACATTTGAAAACTTAGCAAAAATGGACTTTTTTTTTTCTACAAAATATAATTTATCAGACTGACTAGAGAAGAAACAGAAAGACTTCAAAGACATAAATCAAAGTTCAAAATATGCCCACAAATAACAATGACAAAAACACAGACAAAAGAGACAAACAAAAACACTCATAACTCAAATAATTTTACAGGAAGATTCTATCACACCTTTCAGTAACACACAATTCCAATCTTTTATAAAATGTCCCACAGGGTGTATGAAGCAGGCACAGTCTCAGCTCATTTCGTAAGGCTGCTGTAATCTTTATAATACATCCAGACAAGGCCAGGGGCAGATAGGAGAACTACAAGTCAATCTCACTTCATGCAAACAAAATGTTAACAAATCAAATCAAGCAATGTATTAAAAATATAGTATGACAAGTTGGGTTACTCTAGGATGAAAAGCATAGCATAACATTAGAAAATCTGTGAACAAGTTTTGTCAGATTAAAGGGTTAATGGAGGGAGGCTGAGGCAGGAGGATCACTGCGAGTTCGAGACCAGGCTGGGCTACAAAGTGAGTTCAAGGCCAGCCTGAACTAGTGAAACTTTGTCTCAAAAAAACAAAAAACAAACAACAATAAGAACAAAAAGTTCATGGAGAATATTTTTCAATCGATGCAGAAAAAGCATTTGATACAATTTCATAACCATTTACAACAAAAGCTCTTTGCAAAGAAAAACAGGCATAGAAACAAAAAGGAATTTCCATCTCTACATCTAACAAAAATTAAATATTTTTAATGACAGAAATGTTAAAAGCAGTCCCTCTGAAGCTGAAGTGAAAAAGAGCACGCCTGTTTTAGGAAGCAAACTCTGAATCTTATTAAATGTACATTCTGTATCATTAAGTGCAACACTTAAATGCTTTCAGATCAATTCCTATGTCTGAAACCGTCCACCTATTTTGAAAGCAAAGTACTTCCAGGTGCCTGATGCATCTTCTACAGCATGTTTGCATTATATTTAGTACATGTCAGGTGTATGGAAAACATGCTTCATTAAAGAGCATCAGGTAAGTTTTCCTGAAGCGATCTTAAAAAGAACTTTCTTTTTCCTGTCTATAGAAGTAATACATTTACACAATCCAGAAGTTGAACAATTCAGAAAATATAAAGGAGAAATCAATCATCTTTTTTGCCAGTTTTTTTCTTCTGTGCACATTTTAACACAGTAGAGTTCATACTCCTTGGGTATAATTTTGTACCTTACTAGTTTGTTTTTATAAAAGCAGTTCTTTATAACTATAATTTTTAATGGTTACATAATATTTTTTGGCGGTGTAAGGCATTTAATCCAAGTCTTCATGCTTGCTAGGCAAGTGCTCTAGCTATATCCATAGGCCTGTTTTATTTTGAGACAGGATCTCACTATATAGCTTAGGCTGATCTTGAACTTGTAGCCTTCCTGCCTCAACCTTCAGGTTTAAAAGGTGTGCATCACCATGCCTGGAATTTCCATGATATTAAATATCATAATTTGCCTAAGCATTTCCCTGTTTTTTGATTTCTAGGTCATTTTTATAAAGAATATTTCTATGTACACAGAAGCTTCTGTATTACAAAAAGAGAAAAGAAAAAAGAAAAAAGAATCTTCTGTATTACAAGAAGAAGAAAAGGAAGAGAAGAAGAGAAAAGGAGAAAAGAAGAAGAGAAAAGTAGATAACGAAGGAGCACACAGTCTTTTTCACATTTCAGACAGATTGTTTTCCTAGGATAGGCCATCACAGTATTGGAGATAATAATTTCTTTCCTCTACATCTTACTTGCTTCTCTCAAAACACACTGTTTGACTGAGTCCCTGTGTCTCTCTCCTCTCCTTTCAATTTTTAGCTTAACTACAGTGGGAAACGTAAAAGAGAGAAGGAAGAGAAAAGAAAATTCATCAGAAGTATTCTGTGTTGGGCAGGAATCAAAGCCAATGAATCTGTGTGTGAATTTCCCTCTCACCTGCCTATTCCCAGCGCCTCTCCCATTTCCTTCTCCCATACTCGTCTTTCTCTACAAGATTCTTATTTCTTCTCTGAAAAACCACTGACGAGCAAGAAATCCTTACCATAGCATTTCTAAGTTCTTATATTTTGTCTCTTCATAAGGCTGTTTGGATTGCTTCTTATCTTCAGGGGCTCCAAGAGCACCCATGTCATAAGCAGACTGAGGGCCTTTCTGACTCAGGAGCACATGCTTCTTAGAAAGTTCATTAAGGCTGTTCAAAGCCATGTTAGAAAGACTGTACATGGGTAGCTGCTGATAGGAAAACCTTTTCTCTTCTTCATCTCTGTGTTGTCTTTCTTTGTTAACATTCAGGACTGAGGGATACGCACTAGAGTTTTTATGTAATACCTTGTCAAAAGTCTGTTTTGGTGGAACAAATATATTGGAGGTTACTTTGGGATTCTGGTTCATCAAGGCACTCAAGTCTTGTAAGTCACTGTTAGAGGCATTCAAAAGCACAGTCGACCCATGCTGATTTTGGTGCTGTTGCCGTCTGGGACTTTTGTTCTGGTTTCCTTGACTGATGATGAGCTCTTTAGTCACGAAGGCCTTCACGCCACTCTGGCGTTTGTGCGGTCTCCGAACTTTGGGCTTTGCTGGTTTTCTGGAAGGTTGCTGGCCATTTACTGACTCAGAGGACTGATCTCTTGGGAGACTGCTTGATTTTTTACCTTCATATTGAGGCCACTGTTCCTGGCAATTCTAAAAAAATATATTTTTGGTTAATGTAAAATTAGGAGATAGGTACTTTTCAAGAATGTTAAGTGTTTTTTGAAGTGGGGGCTGAGACTTCGAGGAAAAGGACCACAGAACTGCAAGTAGATAACGAAGGAGCACACTGTCTTTTTCACATTTCAGACAGCTGGAGGGTGAACAGTTGAGTGATTTCTCTAGGCAATTTTAGATTACAAGCGTAGAAAGTAACTGAGAGCTTAGAATGGGCTTTGTATTAAGGATACGCCTTTGACTTGAAAGTTATTAGGAGGAATATTACCAAATTGGGGTTGGGGAAAAGCTTTACCTGCAGAAGATGCACAGAAAGAGTATAAATCCACACCAAACTATGCAAGCTTATTTGAACTGAATGAGTATTTCAAATATCCTCACTAGAAAACACCATTGATCTGTTTTACTGACCAAATACAAGTTCAGTATGAAACACAGCTCAGATTAACAACTCTGCTTACTCATACAGGTCAGAAGGTAGAAATGACCTCTTCAGCAGATGAAACAAATTAGATTCTATTCAGGGGATTCTAAGAGTCTGAGCTGTGATAGGACAGCTATGAAATCACAATGGTTGTTTTGCTTCTCTCTCTTAATATAGCCTGTACTTAGGCAATTAAATATCTGGAGGGAAAGATTGCAATTTCAGAACCATCTTTATGCTTTACAAAGACTAGCAACAACAAAATGTACTCCCAATATAATAGATACACTGTGTAACAATATTGTGCTATAGCCATTTAGGAATCTTTTCTAAGTAATAGAGTACTCATTACTCTGTGAAACACTAGCTGAGTTAAGAGGTCTCTGGAAAGAATGATTAAATGCTTACTGAAAACAGTAAGATGAGCATATGCACCAATGTGTCATATAACCACAGCATGTTTCCCTCTTTTTGAACACACATATCTTCAAAAAAACCTCTATGGCCCGTATCTATGCAACACTGATTGAAAAATGGAACAATTAGATGATTGGAGAAAAAAAATCTTAAAGTGAATAAAACATGCTTTCACTCACATTATTTCAGCTCAGTATGAAGAAGGAGCACATTACTGCGATGTGAGCTCAACTTTTATTCCACTTTTCCGATGCAATCCCTTTGACTATTAAGTAGTATTCTATCTCTAATAAAACCACTTACAATGATAAGACTGAGATTAAATTGAAAGTCATACAAATATTATTTGTTATATCATATTTTTAAGTAAGAATGACTTTAAATTTGAAGTGCAGTATGCTCTTTGGAATTTGAACTTACTGTGGGATGGACCATGCTCTAATTAATTCCTATAGACTTTCAATTTTTACCTGCAGGGCTCCAAATAAAGGGAAACTTGTTTCTGTATCCAGATAAAGAAGTTATTTCTGCCATGCAATATACTGAGCCGCATGGGGGAAATGTAGGCAAGAAGACTGTGCAGGTAACCCCAAGAGAATCCTTCCTCGTAGTGGATCCCAAAGAAACTGCTATTTTATAGTCTTAAAGGTGTGTGCATGAAACACAAAGGCCTTTGTCACGGCTGTCAGTACCGTTCATGAAGCTCCAAAGAGCCCCCTTTGCTATGACCTGTAAATGTTAACACTGACAATGTTATTCTTTTCAATATTTGTTCAGCCTTTAACTCTCTAGAGAAACAAATGACTTGGAACTCTTTCCACTGTTGACTATACTGTCCCAGTTTTCTTTCCTCATTACCATCAAAACAAAAATTAAACAGAGCAAACAAACTTACCACATTTCTTTTCTTAGGTATCATGTCTACAATCCCGGGTCAGCACTCGATTTTATCATGTAGTCACCTTTGCTGCTGACAGTACAGATCACAACAGTCCTTTTCACAGAGTGCTTTATCAACAAGGCCAAGGACTCATCATTTCACAAACTTCAATTGTCTCAAGTGTTAAATCTGCTATTCACATAAATTTAAGTGCTAGAAATGGTTATTTCAGTCCCCATAAAGGAAGACATTTATGGGTTTGATGTGATTTCTCTCACCTTCCAAGCAGCCTACTTGAGATCTGTGGTTTACTGAAGATTTATTACCCTACAATGGAGGCATCAGGTGTCACTCTTTAGGTGGCAAGACCTGAGCCCCCTGAAGTTAATATACAAAGCCATTCTCAGGCTATTTAATCTCCCTCAAATGCTGAAATCCTCTATTTCATCCTGTTCTCTCACTGGGCTCCTTTTGTTACCAACACTGGCAATCAGTACATCCTGCATGCACTCAGAATAACTGCTTAATGGCAGTAGGTTTTCGTGTCACATACAAAATGCTACTACGAGAAGATCTTGATGCCAAATGCTGGGATGGTGATTTCTTAGCGAGACTGGTCCTTCGTCATTAACGTGCACTCACTGCTGTGGCACTCAGGGGGGTTTGCCCCCGGCTCTGTGAACAGCAGTGCCTCGCTCCTTATGTCTTACAAATCTCCTGCTTACCCATTACAGGCAAGCTCTGACTCTAACTAGGAAGCTCATTTGCTCTGACACAAAAGCCACTCTTGGCTGCTGGACTCAACCCTCAAGTCTTGAGATTTGTATCGGAGTCCAGGATCAGCTCTGGGGTAGAAGAGCTTCTGTTGTGATCTGTTTTTCTGGTGCATTCAATGACAATAAAATACAAGTCCTTTGAGCTTCAGTTACAATTCTCATTTGATAATATGAAAATTGTGAGCAGACACTAATTGGCTTTAATTTTCACTACTGGAAAGGAAGAACTCCATTCAGATGAATAGAAAAGAGAGCTAATGATGGTGTTTGAATCAAAACCAAATTCATAGCTCTTTGGGAAGACTGCTTGTGGGGGTTTCACCGACATTACTTAGTGAAAGGTCCCACACGCCCTTCATATTGTCATTACTTTCTCCTTGTCTAGGAAATTAAGAGTTATTGCAGCATGGCAAAAAGGAGGATCTTATTTCATCTTTTTAAATGCATACTTAGTTGTGGAGTTTTCTATTTTTTCTCCTGACAGTGTGCATCTCACCTGGTGAAATGACTGGAATGTGTCTTCCCAATTCATATGAAAAATCCTAAGCTCCAAAGTGATGGTTTTAAAAGATGGGCCTATGGGAGATGACCAGGTCACAAGGGCCTAGCCCTCCGGAACAGACAGGTCAGTGCTCTCATAAAAGAGGTCCACACCAGCTCTGTCATTCCTTTTCACCTCATGAGGACACACTGAAAAGGTACCATGAATGTTCCAGGTACTGCTCACTGGACACTGAACCTGATGGTTCTTGACTCGGGACTTTTCTGTCTCCAGAGTTGTGAGAAATAAATTTCTGTCATGCATAAGCTCCCCAGTCTATGGTTTTTATCACAGCGGACCAAACAGACTAAGACAGCTGCGAAGGATCGCGTGTGGCCGGAGTGTTCTCCCTCCCATTGCTTGGCACTTGTGCTGGGCTAAGTACTGCATTCAGTGCAGGCATCCCACTGAATGGGACGTCAAAGCCTGTGGGGCTCCCAGGAGAGCGCAGAATGATTCTGGACAGTAAGACCTATGTGGAGGAGTTCAGTGAAGAAGGATTACGTGGCTTGAAGTGAAGATTTTAAGGATGTACAAGACTTTCATATAAAAAGTAGTGATCATCAATTTCAGATTCTTTTGTGGCGCAGGACTGTGCACACACCAGGCAACTGCTCTAGCTCTACTGAGCTACATCCATAGTCCCATCCCTAGCATTTATTTTCTTGCCTCATTCTATCTCTGGTTTCTCATTGTTTCTAGCACACAAATGCCTAAATTCTTCTCTGAAATAAGCCAAAGCTATTCTTACTGGATCCATTCTCTAGTTCAACTCCATCTGTCTCTCAACTCAGAGCCAAGCATCTTTGCTTGGATAGGCTGCACTGGCCTCCTCTTCCCATCTCTCACTGGGCCTCCACATGCAGGGCAGGGCTCTTGGCCGTCTTCCTTTCTCCCACTCTTCATAATCCTTGGGCCATCACAGCAGTGCTCAGAGCTTTAATCTACGAGGCAGTGTTCATGGTGCAAGGGGACATGGCTAACTTTGATGTCACTCCTGAGTTCTATAACCAGGTCACGTTCTTCCTTCTCCAAACTCAAAGTCAGGCCCCTTCCTGTCCTCAGATTTTTCTTTTTTCTTCTCCAGAGAGAAGAATTTTTCTTCCTTTTTCTTCAGTGGTATTGGTACTACTAATCGAACACTCTGACCCACCTCTTCTCTTCTATGTAAGTAGATCTGTTGCTTCCATTTCCTACCCGTCTCTCACAGGGCTAGGGGACCAGGCGCTACCCTGACCTGAAGAAAGCTAGTCCTGGTCAAATCCACACACCACACTGAAAAGCTAGCCAATGAGATGTGGTGTGGATGATAATATGGCCTAGTCTGCCACTATTCCAATTCTCCTACCATGCCTTGAAGAAACCACAGCAGAAGTCACTTTACTGGCTTTGCTGTCCTTTTTGTCTTATTATCTTCCAATCTATCCCTCAGACCACAGAGAGATTTTTCAAACATGTAAGCCTGACTGTGTCACTGCAGTGCTCAGAACTTGCTGGTGACTTCCTCTTGTCCGTAGAATTAAAAGCCTACATTTTTTTGATTATCATAAAATCCTAGAATCTGGCCCCTACCTAACCTGTCCAGCTCCCTGTCCTTCTTCCTTTCAGAGTCATCTTAGACGCTCTCATTTCTAAGGACGCTCATCTGTCTCTTAGGGCAGAATTAGGCGATCTGTTAGTCTCACTGAATTTTGTATCTGCTTTCATATTATTACACTAGAATAATAATAATTATTATTATTTCGTCTTTTTGAGACAGGGTCTCACTATGCAGTTCAGATCGGTCTTGAACTCATTTTGTAGCCCAGGCTGGCCTGGAACTTGCAACAATCTTCCTGCCTCAGTCTCCTGAGTGCTGGGATTACAGGCATGCGCCATCAGGCACGGCTTACACTAGAATAATTATATAATCATATTACCTCTAAAGTTTTGAATGCCTAGAACAGAGGTACCATTAAATAATTTTTCAAGTTTTATTTTTTGAGTTCAGAAGAGGGAAGAACCTAGGAAGATAGGAAGATCCTGAGAAACTGATTCTTTTTTTTTTTTTTTTTTGTACCAGGAATTGAACACAGGACCTTGCACTTGCCAGCAGGCACTGTCCTATATCCCAGGCTCAAGTTTTATTTTTTTAAGATTTCAAAAACATTTTGTTGTTTGGTTGGGTTTTTTTTTTAAATGTATTTTTGAGCCAACCACTCAATCTCTACTGCTTAGAATAGGTACGCAATAAATACATACTGTGTGAATTGTTTTTGATTTCATATACAGATATATTCTTAGTAGTGAGAGTTATCTGTTGTTAGGATGGATTTACTGAGGAATCTGTGGATTATTTGAACATTATCTTTCAATAAAATAAAAACAAAAAAACCTTTCAGCACTGTGTGGTGGTGCATACCTGTAATTCCTGTTACTCAGGAGGCTGGGGCAGGAGGATCACAAGTTCAAGCCCAGTCTAGGCAACTTAGTGAGATCCTATCTCAAAATAAAAGATGAAAAGGGCTGGGCTGTAGCTCAGTGGCAGAGTTTGCCTAGCATGTGTGAAGCGCTGAGTTTGATCCCAGTATCAGGGGAAAAAAAAGAAATTTCAAATGAGGGTTATTTTCACTTGGAGATGTACTAATGACCTTAAATGTGACTATTTATTGGGCATGAGCCTTTGGCAACACGGTGTGGTAAGGGATGTAGAGGAAAGTACAATCCTAACCTGTAGGGGGCTTCTGGCACTGTAGGTAAAAAAGAAACACGGGGAGCAGTGAAAGACACACGGCAAATATGACTGGCTCTGAGACGGGGGAGAGGCTGAGAGGTCTTCCTGTAGGAGGTGGTGCTTGAGAAGGGACAAAAATGAAGGCACTTGTGCCCTTCTCCTGAGACTGCTTCTTAAAACACACAGAATTACCCTTCCTACAGGCAATCACAAATCTCTGTCTCTCCTCCCTGGATCCTCTGTCTTTTTCCTTTTCTCTGTTTGCACTTTTCCCATGCCTTCTTTCTGTGACAGGTTTTATCTCTGCATGATTAAAATGTGATATGAAGATGTTCTTCTAGGAAATAGAACCTTTAGAAAAACAGGTAAGGTTGGCAGGCTGAGCAGTCTTTCTCATAGGATGGTGAGTGACTATTTTCAGACATCAAAATAAGCTCTTAAGTGCCAAGAACTCAGTAACAAACATTACTTATATTTAGCAGCATCACTTGAAGCACACTTAACATGCAATCTAGCAAGTCACCTTTAGCTGTTGTGCTCTTTGATGCCATTTGTCCTCGGGATCGATGGCAGCATTTTCCATCTCTTCAGCATTCTGAACAGACGTCTCGCCAGTTACTCTGATGGGGTAGGAGATCTAAGAGGGTAAAATATATACACCATGTTAGCTGGATTTATTTTAATCTTAGCATCATGGGGCTCAAGTCTGTGTACTCCAGAAAAAGGTCCTGCAGGGCTATGTTTTATTTTCAGTTAATTTTAAGAATTTGTCTCTTCAGTCCTCAGGGACCTGGATCATTCCCAAGGAAAATGAGAATAAACAGTATTTCCCCTTGGAGGTATGATGGGAGAAATGGTGCTCTGAGGTCAAATTCTCCTTACTTTAGATCACGGGTATCTAACCTTTTGGTTTTCCTGGACCAAACTGAGTGAAGAGGAACTGTGTTGGGCTGCGTATAAAATACAAAGTTAATGTATATAAGTAACAAAACTTTATTTTTGTATTTGAACTTCTTAAAATGTTTTATCAAATAACACAATAAGCCCAAGTTTAATCATAAGAAAACTTACAGGCCTGCTTAATAACAATAAACGCCTGTCTTCACAGGCACACACTCACATAGGTAAGTTGAAATACTCTCATTGGCGATCGCTACATTATACTCACAAGTCACGCAAGTGCATTGACATCTGATATACTGTATGCCATTTTGACTGTGTGGCAGGCACATCAGGCAGTGAGTGCTGCACTGTGACCTCTCCCACACAGCGTTCCATGGTCACCCACTCAGCATCAGCTCAAGCTCCACGCAATAAAGTTGTGAAAAACTATTGCTAAAAATCACATAATCTGGTGGGGCCATACTACTGCCTATCCAGGGCTGCAAGGTGAACATGCCTGCTTTAAAGACTTCATACATAGTCAGGGGATGTAATTTTTTAGGGGAACTCAATTTTAAAAGTTATCTGCTCATAGATACTTGAAGCAACATTTGAAAATGTCCACAAAAATGTGATGAAATAGCACTACACAGATGCTCCTTGAATTATGCTGGCCCAAAAAATCCATTTGAAAAACTCAAGATGTTTTTAGATAAATGTATGCACAATGAGACCATACTTTTAAGTGAAATAAATTGGATTTGTTTTTTCTTTTTTTGTTACCGGGAATTGAACTCAGGACCTTGCGTTTGCCAGGCAGGTGCTTATGCCACTGAGCTACATTCCTGGCCCCACAAATTGGATACATAGGTTTAAATATAGCATTGTTTCTCTTGTGTGAGAAACAGAAAGTGTAAATAAGGACCAAAATGGATGACAGATTTTGGAAAGTAGGAAGAAAATGTTCAAAGGGAAGGAGAACAAGGTAGCAGGGAGGGAGAAGGGAAGGGAAAAAGAAAAAAATAGAAAGAAAAAATGGAAACAAAGCTTTTGTAAATAAGGAGAGAGGGGCTGGGGATTTAGCTCAGTGGCAGAGCCTGCCTGGCAAGCGCAAGGTCGTGAGTTTGACTGCCGGTACCAGAAAAAAAAAAAAAAAAGAAAAAAAAAAAAAAGGAGAGAAAGAAGGGTTGAAAAGAGGGGAGGGGAATGGGGAAAAAAGAATAATCAAGACATACTATGAACAGGTGCAAATTCCCTATGATGAATGTGATCATTATGTATATAAAAAGTATACCAATGAAATTAATTTAAAAAAAATTAACCTTAAATTGAAAATGCACATAATACAACTAGCTTACCAAACATCAGAGTTTAGACTAGCTTACCTTAAATGTGCTCAGAATACTGACATTAGCCTACAGTGAGGCAAGATCACCTAACAAGGCCTATTTTGTAATAAAGTGTTGAACAGCTGATGTCATTTTAAAAATACCATACTGAAAGTAGGGGTGGTCACACTTTTGCATTATTGGTAATTGTAAATTAGGATGTCTATACTCCAGGATGCTGACAGCACAGAAGTGACAATGTCTATATACACCCAACGCTCATGGAATAGCAACAGCTGTCCTGAGCCCTTAACATACAACCCATAGCATGTTAATCCTTGCAACAACCTTACCACATTTCTACTATTATTATTACCTCCTTTCAAATTAAACAAAACAAAACCAAAAACAAAGCTAAGGTGCAAAGAGGCTAAGTCCCTTGTCTAGGATCAAGAGCAAGTAAGGAGAAGAGCCAAGCAGTCTAACTCCACGGCCTTCATGTTTAAGTATTTGGCTAACCTACCTCACTTACTAGGAATATCCTAGACCTGCAGAATTTGCAGTTTTGGGGAAAAAAAAAAAAAACAAAAACAAAGACAAAACTAGTTTTGGTACTCTGTGAATCTGAATGATATAAATCAGTGACTCTGAATCTTAGAGATTAGGAAAAATTTAGGAAGCTTTTTAAAAATACTAATTCTTTAACCTCATCCTGAGCCCATTAAATCACACTGGGAGTGGCCTTTTAAATTTTAAAATATTAGTATTTTTTAAAAAGTTCTCCACTTATTATTTTTTTTAAAGTGTGGGGGGGATATTCTCCAGGTGGGTCTACCCTGCAAGCCAGCTTTACGGACCACTGGTGAAGGCAGACAGGATTTAGGACTTCAAACTATTCAACGAATGGCCATTTCTTGCCCGTTTTAAATCAAGAAGTTAGTCTCTGTGCTATGTGAAATTCTAGCCACCAGGATGCACTGCAGGAGCAAACTTCCACAGCTTTGATGTTGGAAGAGATCCTGGACATCCACACCAGCCCTTCTGAATGCTCATCTACCCTCTGCGAGACACACACCTGCTTCCCAAGGGTCACGATCCACCTGTCAGCACTATGGTACGTACCTGCCATGGCTTGAGGATGAGAAAAAAATCCCTGCTTCATATATGATGAATGCAGTGCTTCATCACCAAGCACTCAGGTACCAGCAAGTTCTTCCTATACGAATGGAATACACCTTCCCGTATTTTCTGTCCTCCCCTCTGTAGTGATACAGAATAGGTGCATCCTTTTTCAGACAATAGCCCCACTGGTAGCAGCTGAGTCGGGTGTCCCTTGTATGCCTTCTCTTGCACAGAGGACCCGTGTTAGGACTTTCCTGCCATTCCTTCCGTGATGCAGCACTGTGGCTGGGCCCCGGGGCCACTCTCTGGTTCCTCCCTGTTAAATCTCTTTCTGAATGGATGGAACAGACTTTTAAATTTAGTTACAGGACTTCACATTTGTTTTGTGAGATTTCCTCTGCAGGACTCTACAGTGTGAGAAGTGGCCAGGTACAAGTCTGGAACAAACATGGGACTGGAACCTGTCATGCTTGTGTTGAAATTCTCCCCCTGCTGCTTTACTTTTTTAGTGTAACCTCACATTCAATTTAGAAAGAGGTAAAAAATGTGTTAAACAGTGATAGGTAAGTATTTGACAATGAACATAATCTCAGTCTTCATCATTCAATGTGGCTTCCACAGCACAAAAAACACTGTGTTTCTATTTGGAGTCTAACTTTGCCTGTCCCTAAATAACCATCTCTAACTGCTTTAAATTACTATCATAATTGCTATATATATGCACACTGTAAATAGGTACGTGGTGTAGGAGTTAAAATACCTAAATATTGATCTGTAAGTGGGAAAAATGAAAATGTTTCTCGAATTCTCACTGCTAAAGTAAAACAATGTAGTGTTTGGTCATGGACTTGATTCCAAGGGGAGGTAATCTCCATGTTTTGGAGGATTAATCTCCTCTGCAAATGGAAAGCCTCACCACATGGGACATCTAACTTTTAAATGCTGCTGCTCAAGGCCAGGAACCATTCTTAAGTTTCCTTCTTGGCCCCTCTCATAACACTGGTTCCAGAAACACCTGAAGATTATAAATGTGTTAGGTTTTAACACATTTGCCAGTGTTATTGCAAAGGCTTCAATTCCTTATTCTCTAGGAGGTAGATTCCTTGACTTTTATGCCTAAGAAGCAAAGGGCACTTGGTTTAGTTAATTCAGTTTATCTCTGGTAATATTAATTTTTCCACTGGCAATGAAGGGATGTTTTATATGGTTCTGATGAAAAGTTTACAAACTGAAAACGCACCGTCTGATGCTTCCTTTCGCAGAAAATGAAGGATGTGCACTATTTCGTCCACAGGCTGTTTGGGTGGAACTCAGTGGCTGGATCACCCCGGGGAGGCTTGCTGGCAAGCAAAGCATACTTCTACATTATCTCTTTGAAAGTGGAATGGGACACAACCTCTGCCAGCTATTTCTTTCTTTTTTTTTTTGGTGAACCATTCTATTAATACCAATCAAATCGAGAAAATGATCAAATGAAATTGCATTTTGAGCATCATAAGCTGTGTAATGTCTATTCTGTTAAATTGGGGCCTATAATTGCTTCTCTACTGAAAAGATACAACAAAGACAGCAATCATGGCATGTCATTATCCCAGAGTAGAAAACCGGCCTTTGCAGGGAGGACTTCAAAGGCTTGTGGTTCTCGAATTGCATTTGGCTGCTATTGTTGAAGCACGGGCAGTCTTGATTAGGTGTTTACACTGAGGTAAGGCGCAGAGCAGAGAGTCTGAGTGCCTGGGTCTAGAGCCATTAAAAAATTGTACATTATGTTCCTTGCTTTGAAGTGAGGGTTTGTAGGTAGGAAAGCAACTCAGATTGAGTACAGCTGAGCTAGACTGGGCTGCTGCTTCTCTCTCAAAGAAACTCATCAGGTTCTTAGAGAATCAGACAGCACTGCAGAAAGCAAAGCTGATGTTTTACTCAGTGCTGTATGTAAGCTAGTGGACCTGCAGAGACACAAACTGAAGCATGTGTCGGCAACCCTATTAAGTTTTACAGTCACTGGAGGTTTTGCCCCATTTTTCTTTATATTTGGTTTTTCCCACTGACCTTGTGTTTTTATGTTGTGGGGAGCCCCATATGAATTTATGAAGTCCTTTGTTACACTCATTTATTGATGGTATTGTATTGACAGCTAGCACATGTCCAAATTAAATAAACCAAAGTGCCTTATTTTTTAATGTAGTATTTATTTCCTGCCATTTCAACACATTCATCAGTTAATCCCTTTCTTTGGGCAGAATCGCTGGATTCAGAGGGGCTGTCTTTACTTACTTTGCTGATAAGTGATGTGAAGTATTTCTTT